TGGGTAATGAATAACGACTATTAGTTAAACATTTTCTGAAAGTTTCATCAATGACGTCTCAACGGTTGCGAAGATAATTACTTTTATAGAAGGCGCTAAGTGAGTAGCGTTTATTCTCGTTGAACATGGCGCTGGCGAACAAAAGTGATTGTTTCAAAGAAACAACGTCTGTCCAGATTATTCATGATTTAAAGCTGTTTTAGAATATGTTTGCCGACTTGTCTAGGTTTCTGAGTAACTGTAGTCCTCTTCTGTTGCTTGGTTACAGAACAGGAATCCTATCAAATGGCAATTCTAGACGATAAAAAAAAGAGAAGAAAATATGATTCAACTATAGAGAATCAAATGTACCGCTTACAGTCTTCTCCTCTTTTGATCTTATCACTCTTCATTTTCTATATACGCGTTGCAATAGACAATGAGATAAGCTAAGAAAAGTGTTAATTTTATATTTTAACCGAAATAGTTCATTCATAGTTCATTCAACTGTCCACAGACAGGATCTTCGAATGTAGTTCTTTTTGTTCGGAAAATAATGCTTTTCGAATTTGGACACAGAAAAATATATAATGGTTGAAACTGAATCAATGCTGTCATGAAAATATTTTTTTCTTTTTCCTTTCTTTTTATCGTTATGACATCACATTCTTTATTCTTCTTCTTTATTCAACCATCAACTACAAGTATGTTTTACACTATAAAATGAGTAGAAGAAGTTTTATTTCGACTTGTCGCTCGTTCCTGCATTGCCCGATGTGACCGTACCCGATTGAGCTTCATGTGTTGTTTGCCCTGATCCACCGTGTTTGTCAGCTTCATCGAGACCGGCCGTTGAATCGCCCGTTGAACGAAAAGATTCTGGAGTTGCACCGGATGTTGATCCGCCCAAACAGGCTAATTGTTCCGCCTTTGTACCACTTTCCACGCCAATCACTGGGTCTTCTCCGAGTGTCTGTGACATTTTGTTCGTTAGCTTGCTGTCTCGTGCGTTCGTTTGAGTGTGTGTGAATATGAAGAGAACAAATGAATGAGAGAAAGAAAAGGCACTGTTTTTCTTTTCTTTCTTTTCTTTCGCGCCAACTGTTCCCGTGAAGGCCAACCTGATGAGAGAAAAAAAAAAGAAACGACGCCTACCCGTATGTTCTTTTTCTATTTAGAGAAAGAAAAACACTACATACACGACTACTACTGATAGATGGTTTTCTTTCTTTTCTTTTCTTGTGCAGCGGTCGTTGTGCCGATAGTTACATTACATCACTCTTACGTCATATCCTTTTATTCTTTATATGGGCAAATTCCACTATATATATTGTGTATGAATCTTCTTATCCTTCACCTTTATTATACCAGTGTCCTCGCCTTACTCTTTCCTATTTGTTCTCCTATATAATGCATCGCACTGTGTGATATGAATACAACTGGATGATGGAGTAGTGAGGCGAACATCATACACCCTCATGAACATTCTTTTTGAATTATGTCTGCTCATCTAATACAGTTTTCTACTGGCTAAGCACACTCGCTTGATAATGTTGTTTTGAATGAAGGGAGAGGAAAAATAACTGTGAAGCATATAAAATAAGAAGCGTTATACCACATGCGTCAGACGACGAATTTTACGCATAGACGAATCTGTGGAGGTAATTTTCCGCTAGTGCAAATGATCGTTCAGAACAAGATCCATTCATGGTTCTCTTATGAATAAAAACTTTGAGTACTCTTCTATCATCTATTTAAAAAAATCGCCCATCAAGGTGCAACTAGAGTGAAGATATTTATGGCCCAATCTTTATTTAAAAAAATTCTATTTAGAAGTTTTAGATGATGCTGAATAAGGCGAGAATATCAAATCAGAACCTAAATTTTGATGAATTTTTCTATTTCTTGGTGGCTTCATGGATACTATCTTAAAGATTTGACATTTTCACTAGAAAAACCTATTTTTTCTCTAAGTTGTCCTTACGGTATAAAAGCAGTATAATTGACTTCTGCTTGTAAAAGTAGAAATAGTTGAAGTAAGGTGCATGGAAAGCAAACTGACAGTGAAATTTATTTTTGGCTTTATTATACATATTCTGATTCACCAGGTCATGCTGATCACGAATATCACCTTCCGAGCTCGAAAAAATTGAATCTTGATGGAGAAAACCGCGAAATACTGAGATGAGGTCGAAAACGTTAAAATCCGTTCTTTTTCAGAAAAAGCTCCACCATTTTTTTCTCTTACGTTTTTATTTTTTTCAGATTTTCGGTCAAAAACTGATTCTAGGAAGATCTCTTTTAATGAAGTTTGACCACATCTGAAATTTTGGCAGAGCTCAAAACTCGTTTGGCTTAGGGGTCGACATCTTCAACTTGCTCGCCT